AAAAAAAAAAAAAAAAAAATGAGGAGGAGGCCAGACATTTGGTTTGAGATGATATAAGATGGAAAGACAAAATGAGAAATGAGGAGGCAAGACATGAGGGAGGAAAAATGAGATATTACAGATATTATGGAAAATATAAAAAAATAATAATGAAAATAATGAAAAAAATGTTGGACTATTTAAAAAATTGAAAAAAAAAAAATAAAAAATTGAAGGTATAAGGAGAACAAGAAACTTTGATTTTTCTTTTTTTTTTTCAATTTTAATAATTGGACTATTTAAGAAATTGTAATTTGGAAAAAGTTCTATCAAAAAACTATAGCTTGTTGAATTTTTTACACTTATTAAATAAATCACGCCACAAAACTTGTTTAATTTTTAAAGACTTATTAGATAAATCACACCACACAAGTAATAAATCTAAAAATTCTAATGATATGAGTAAATAAAAATTAAGATAATTTTTAAAAGCATTAGAAAATCACTCATAATCTTTTTTGTTTTATTTGTATATTATTGGGTTGACTTAATTAAAAAATAAAAATGAAACTACATTATTTTGAATTACTAAAAAGTATAACTAAGGTAAGGGGGTGATTGGCTATGAATTCAAGTAAAAATTTGGTTTCTTTTTAACTAAAGTTAAGTTTAAAAAAGGTGGTATAGTTAGTTGTTGGTGGATATATTAAAATAATAAATAAAATGACTAAAGTTAATTTGATGTAAAAATAGGAGAAAATAATTGGAAGTGATGGTTAACTAAAATTATGTGAGTGGATGAATAGTGAATTAAAGTTGATGTGATGTGTAAGAATGATTGGGTGATATTATTATTAGATTCATAATATTGAAAATAGTAGAGTTGAGTTAAATTTGAGTTTTGATTGATTCTTTTATTGTGTGTTAGAATATCACTTGTGAGTTGTCCCACATCGTTCACACATAGAAAATAGACCCACCTTATAAGTCTAATGGGCTACTCCTCCTTTCACCAATTGGTTTTGGGATGGAACCCCATTGGGCTTCATATGGGCTTTCCTTTTCCCCCCAGTTTCTTACATGGTATCAGAGCCAGATTTGAGACATGATATCAGAGCCCGACCAACTTTGTGTCTGGGTTAGAGACATGATATCAGAGCCCACTTTGTGCCTGGGTTAAAGACATGATATCAGGACTCACAAGTGAGGGGGCGTGTTAGAATATCACTTGTGAGTTGTCCTACATCGTTCACACATAGAAAATAGACCCACCTTATAAGTCTAATGGGCTACTCCTCCTTTCACCAATTAGTTTTGGGATGGAACCCCAATCTATAAACAGTCGTCCCCTAAATCTTTTGTAGACGCTAATGGAGAACTTTTACTCTTCCTTTTCTGAATGCACACTAATAATGTAGAAACCAATGTGACCATTTGTTTACAATGCGAAAATGGTGCGACTTGTTAGTTAGTTGTAATTAAAGATTTAAACAAGGTTCAGATTTTTCGTTCCATTGGTATCAATTGACACTCTGATTGTACTTTTTTGAGTTTTTCAATTTCTAATATAATTGACATTTCGAAAACAAAAAAGGAGTGAAAATGCGAATAAACTGGCAACGCCCCATGCTCATGGATATAGCTAGGATTTTTTAGAATCCAAGGTTGCTTCATATTGATTGTCATTTGTATCGAGCTCTTTAAGTATACAATTAAATTTGGTCCGTAAAAAATCGTGCCTGACTCGTCGTACATTGCTTCAGATTGATTGTCATTTGTATCGAGCTCTTTGCGTACAATTTGGCACGTAAAAAATTGTGCCGACTCGCTTGTACACTTAAATGAACTGGCCTCACACTACTGATCAAGCTTGTTTATTAATTAAACAAGCTGAGATATGGTTGAGGATAAGCAAATGGGATTTCAATTTGGGATTTTATGTATTAGTTTAGGAATTATTAAACGAGTCAAGATTAAATTCACTTAATTATTAATTAAATCATTCTATTCGTCTTGGTATGGGGATAGTTACTATCGGAGCTCTTCAAGTGTGGATCTCCAGTTGGCCATCTGCTCTGATATAATGTACAAGACTATCTCATCTCCGGTCTGACGTTGTGCAGAGCCTAGTCAGGTACGAATCCCAACTATTACAAGGAGGGGGAGGGGGAGGGGGAAGAGCCAGAAGGCAGAGAGTTAGCATCCCCGACCGGGGTTGAGAAGAGGCACTGGTTGTGCGCGCAACCAAATGCTCACTCTCGGTGGATAGAGCAGGGGTCGACTTAGCCCCTTCCGTGGGATCAGAGGCGCGAGTGGGCCTCGAGACCTGAGATCCCTCCTCGAAGGCGTCGTGCTCGTTGGACGATGCGGGCTCGTCATCATGGAGGGGTGCGGTCTCGTCACTCACTGAAATGTCAGAAAGATCTGTCTCATCATCCAGGAGGTCGTCACGTCGAGGGAAAGACTAGTTGTGTCTCTAGAAGGACAAGAGGAGGATGAAGGCTCGTCCTCCAACATAGAAGAAAAGATAGAGAAACATGAGTGGTTGGCCTTAGAGGCCGTGGACTTGGCCTTTGGACCGTCCATAACCACCCTTTTTGGGCCGATTAGGTTGTGCAGCCTTCCCAGCCTGAGTGGCAGTCTCAACAACTACCTTACCCTTGTCCTTATGTCCCTTCGGGGACTCAAGCGCGTGGGCAAGGGCTTTACTCTTTTCGTTGGGGTTTTTTGGAGCAGATTGGGACCCAATCTAGTCGCACGTCAGCGCGGCGAAAGCGACGGCCAAGGCTTGTTGGCACTAGTGTAGCAATCAGCCCCAACGTGACCCACGTGGTCAAAAAGAGAATAGTAAGGCGGGACCCTCTCGTAGACCACCTTCTGAATGGTGGTCTTCTCAGCCTGGTCGAGCTCGATCTCATCGACGCGCGGAGATGTATCTTGACGCACACCCATGCGACAGATATCCTTGTCCGGTTGGTTGTAGGGGCATCAAACTTGATCGGATTGCCGATACAACTGACAATCGAGAAAAGAACGGTAGGGTCGTAAAGGTGCGGAGAAGGCCTGGGCGACGACACCAAATGGGGGCAATAGGTGCCTCTGTCGACAAAGAGTGTATTTGAACACCCGGGCAGTGCACCCATAGATGTTCGCGAATGTCTTGAGCCACGCCTCATTATAGTCGTCCCTAAGCTCGAAGATGACTAGATAATAACTATAATTAAAGTACTTAGATGTGTAACTACCCTTATACCCTAATTTTTCTAATTCAACATTAAAATCTCAGAGTTTGGGAACAGTACAAGAGAACTTAAAAATCAAGGCATTATCGTATGATTCGACAAGAAAAGAAACATTAGGTTCTAGAAGACTTACCTTGAACCGTCCCTCCTCAGGGCGCGAGATAGTCCCACGGTGATTACTCTAGAATTTTTCGAGAGAGAATCTATGACGTCCCGATTTATTGGAAAATTGGCCGGTGATCGCATTCCGAAAGTATCGGGGGCCGGAGAGGGCCGAGGTCGGCATCGCCGAAGTAGAAGTCGGAATGAACCCGAGGGTCGTGAGAAAGCCCAGAGGGATGTCCGTCTGGGGCTGTCCGGTCCTAGGAACTCCAGTGAGCGAGGTTGAGTTGCCGACTGCTGGTGAGACGGGTTCCCGTCGGAGAAAAGGTCCCAAAGCCTAGAATTTTGACCGAAGAATTGCCGCCAGAGAGCTGAAGATTTCCGGCGCTGGGCCGCATGTCACTAGAGTGGTGGTGGTGTCGGCCATCGACGGAGGGGCAACGACGGTGGTGGCGGCCGTTGACAAACTCCCCCCCACCCGCAGCCAAGGCCTCAGCCTCCTGCCCGCAACCTGAACTCGGCCCGTCTCTCCAACACCGGTGAAGAACGAAAAGGGAAAAATAGATCCTTACCTCGGCTTCGACCAACTCCATGGAGACGATTGGAGCCAGCCGCTCGACCACCCGTTGGCCCGCAGAAGGCTCCCTGAACATAGTCAACCTTGAAGATTGGCGAAACACTTCTTCGGAGAGGGTCAGCTGACGCTTCGAGAGACAAGCCGCACGGGCCGGAGACGGCGGGCGCCGCAACGTCACGGAGAGCCCAGAAGGGGGGAGGTGGCGGTGATTAAATTGACGACGAAGGTTTCAAATGAAGGACATTGGGGATTATCAACGCGTCCTATTTCAGTCAGTTAATCACAATTAATTTTCTAGCACATTACTTGTCTCCATATCACAAACACCGAAAAATTTACAGAAACGAATCTCAGCGCTAAACACCCCACAAATGGCGCCAAAGCTCAAGTAATGGCTCTCCTTGACTTCCCTTTTATTCTCCCCTTCACAACCCCACG